GAAGGTTCGCAAAGAAGTCATGCTGTCGTTTCGGCTCCATGGCCTTTAGTCGTATATGCATGCGAAAATATGGTTGATAACGGACAAGGTTTTTATTAGAAATTATTCACAATGGTCAGTATTTCCAAAACAACTATAATAACATTTTGTACTTATTAAATTATTAGCTCCGTTATTTGCACCAACGCCACTTCCGTTATCTCTTCTATTTCCACCAACTACAAAACTTAAATATATTCTCCCGAAAAAAGAATTTCTTCAACAGAACATTTGGCCTAGCGAAACTGTTAGGGTACCTGTTGGACAGCTAGACCATTTAAAATTTACTGAACGGTGGTCAATATTTTTTGCTTTGGCGGGATGTGCTTGGGTAATATGGACTATAAAAAGAATGCAAATTCGGTACGAAGATGATGACAGCAAGATTGATTGACGTATTTATTTGTTAATTGATTGATTGATTAATTCATTTAACATACATATAAGCTATTCGGATATTGTTACGAACAATTATCATCATTGTTGTATTCATTATTGTTTCTATAACACGTGACTGTATGCTATTTAAAAACAAATTCCACTTAATACATATCTGTTATTTGTCAGTAACGTTAATACCGTTTAGCGCAACTTCCTGTATCGTAAGGTACCTTTCTCCGCCAATGAAAGTGCTGAAACACGAATATTACCAATTTAAATACCCGGGCGCTTCACCTGTGCTAAACGGTAAATATGTCGCGTAAATATCATCCGTCACATCCTTATCAAATGTTTGTTGATAGATGCATAAAGTCACATCACATGCGTGCTATTTTGGAGGGTTAACCTCAAAAATTTTGATTGGATACTTTTGAATCTTATTCATCATCCTACAGATAAATTCGATAAATTCGGATTTCGTAAGGATCTCCGATTAAATTAGGTAACCAAAATCGTTGAAGTTGTCTAATTTTAAAAAATCATTACAAAATTTTATAGTATTAAGGACTATTCTATATTTCAATCTTTCCTTTAATATTATAATATTTATATAATCGTTGTTGAACAAATAAATTTTGCCTTTCAAGCCTGAACACTCGTCAAGGCAACATATCGATATCTTAATACAAAAGTTATTACGTGTGAATATTAACAACGCGTCCTTTTATGTTTGAATTCATCCCACAGAAAGATGTGTACAGCGTCGTTATCCCTTCATAAATCTTTTCTCTCTGATATAATAGATATATATAGGTATATATATATATGCTATTTTTTGTTTTTTTTTTTTTTTGTTTTTTTTTTCTTTTTTTGTGATATTTTTTGTTATATTTACAACTGCTAAAATATACTTTTGAATCGTCCTTTTTTTTTTTAA